CTTCAGGCACATACATAGTGAGACTTGTATTAAATAAATAAACAAGTGGATTTTAAGAAAACCTTCAAGGCTAGCCTGAACTGCATAGCAAGATCAAGGGACACACACAAAAAACAACTAAAAAAAAAAAAAAAAAAAAGAAACAAAAATCTAAATTAGACAATTCATTGTATAAAGATACTGGTAGTTAATGGGATGGAACTGGGATGATGCTGGGAATTATTTCACCCCCAAGCTGTGATTTAGCTGGGATTTGGTCCACAGTGTTTTAAGAAAACCTGGGCTTTCCTTTATCACAGCCTCAAATAAAGCTGTCACTTGGCTGATCTTATCAGAGCCTTCTCTGCCTCAGAGCATCTGGCGGAAGTGGTTGCTGAGCAGCAGTTTTAAATCAGGCTTTAAAGTGTATCTACAAAGGTCCCAGGAAACCTCTGCAGCCACACTCAGCCCCCTACCATTGCCCTTGGTCCCTCAGATGGAAGTAACAAGGCCATCTGTGAGCTCGTTCTCCTAATTGGCTCCCTGGTTGGGACATAAATTGGGCTCTCCCTGTGGAACTGTAGAGGGAGGGAATGAACTGCCTTGCCTCCTTGCAGAAGCAAATGGAAAGAGCAGGACGGCAGAAGTTGTGCCTAAAGTGAGGATTCTGGGGGGACTGATGTCTTGCCATGTCCCCCAGGGAGCCCACACCTTCCCTGATCCCACATGGGAAGGACTCAGTGCACTGTGTTTCTAATCCACCTTCTCAATGTGTACCTCAGACAGCGACCAAAGAGTCTCCCAAATGTGATGATGTTCCACCTGAAACAAAGGATTCAGTTTATTATGCCAAAGAAGGAAAGAAGAAACCGTTGGTAGAGCCTCTCATCCCGAGCGGCGCAGGTAATATGATGCTTCATTTTGCAGCCGACAAAGCAAAGCACTAACAGCCCCGTAGTGCATGAACGCACCTGTGCGTGTGTGTGCCAGAAGATTGCTGGGTGTGTAACTGTCTGATGTTTTAAATGATGCACTCAGCCTGTAGATCAGTGGGAAGCAGAGCTGGACAAGCAGCGTCTAGCTCTGGAGGCTGAATGTCTCCAGGTAGGGAGATAAAGGTGGGCTTAAGACCAGTGCCACAGTCCACGTGCCTATCAGGCTCCTGTAAGGAGCAGCAAAAAATAAGGGCAGTCTTGGAGGGAAACTTGGATAGATAAGCCACCTACGTTGTCCATGTGCCTCCTTGGAGGGTGGCTCTGCAGACTTGATCTTAGTTTATTAATTATTTATTCATTTAATATTTATGTATTTATTTATT